TGATATAGTAACAAAATCTTTTGTATGTATTTTACTTGAGCCATTTTACCGTAGTTAACAAGATGCACACATTTAGTCTATTCACTTTACAAAGAAGTTCTGATTATAAAATATGAAGTAAACAACATTATGCATGAAATGAGTCCAGATTTATGTTTTTATAGTAAATGTACACATTTAGTCTATTCACTTTACAAAGAGGTTTTGATTATAAAATATGAAGTAAATGGCATTAAAAAATTTTGAAGTAAAAAAACAAACTTTTTTCTTACTCGCTGAAATAATTTTAATCAATCCCTAATGTGTCCTTTATTTTTGCCTTTTTTACCAAGATTCTGTTGTTGTTGTCGTTGTTCATTTACGTCGCACTAGAGGTGCACAATGGGCTAATGGCGACGGTCTGGGAAACATCCCTGAGGATGATCCGAAGACATGCCATCACAATTTTGATATTCTCTGCAGAGGGGATGGCACCCCCGCTTCGTTAGCCCGACGACGTGCTCGCGAAGTCGAGCGCTTTACGGTAGAACAGTTTAATGAGGACCCATACCGCACACCCTCGGTCCCTACGCAGACTGATCCAAGTGGTCACCCACCCGCACACTGACCGCAGCCAGTGATGCTTGACTTCGGTGATCTGCTGGGAACCGTGTCTTAACGATCACCAAGATTCTGAAAATATATTATAGATAGATTCCAAAATTCTGAAAATATATAATATATGGAATGACTTATGACACAGAAGCAATATTTTTACATTATTTCACATGTTTTACATTTTTATATTGAATTTTCCATAATCCCTAGAAGAATTCTAGAATCCAGGTGAAAATAGAAATTAGAAAATACAGTCTACAAGGTCTGTTTTTAAGTATGGTCCGTTTTGTTGTGCACACTAATAGATGACGCTTGCGTCGCAACGAGTACTTGCGACGTGTCTCAGCAATCCTTGGAAACAAATGTGCTCAGTTAAAGCTGTGAATGTATCCTGTGCGGTCAGTTCTGTGTCTTTAAAATGCTCAAATTTTACAAATCTTCCGCCGCTTATGAGATGCGTTTTTAATCGGCAAAAACCCTGCCTGCTGCATACATTTATCTGACAGATTTCTGAAGCTTACGAAGCTTCCTACTAGCATGCTAACAGAAAATTTCGCTACTCCATGACAGTGACTCTCTTCACGGCTCAGTCCCGAGCTCTATTGGCTCTTTCGGCTGGGAAGTTTTGGATCACCCCTCATCAGCACAGTCCTTGCGCTAAGTGATTTTCATCTTTTCCGATGTTCTAAACATCGTTTAACCTCAACCAGTACAACGCTTACGAAAACGTGAAAACGGCCGTGACCTCTTGGTTATCAGAGCAGGTGGCAAGTTACTATGAAGAGGGTATTCTATATCTAGTTGTAAGGTATGATAAGTTGCTTAAGCAAACTTGCAACTATTTTGAAGAAAAAAAGAGGAGAAACGTACGTAGAATCAAAGAATAAATTTGCTTCATGAAAATTTTCTTTTATTTGGTTTTTATTTTCAAGTGGCCCTATTTAAAAAATTGCCCTCGTAAAAGGATCATTACATTCGAAATCAAAACATCATTACATCAAAACATACCTTGCACAAAGTAGCCCCCAAGTAGCCCCACTTGGGGGCTACTTTGTGCAGCGATAGGAATTCAGTTTAATAATCATGTTTTTAGTAAAATATTTATATAAAATTGTTAAAAAAGTTAATTGTTGACATTTTTAATAATAAAAACATCAGGATATGTAAAGATATTAGTTTGAAAATAATTTTCAGAGTTAAAAAACCATTTTTTATAAAGAATTTTTTCTTAAAAAGAATGTTTATTTCAAAACATTTGAAGTTAACAAAAGGAAACCATATACATTTTTGAACATTGAAATGGATGAAATTTCAAAAATAATGATTATTACATATTCATTAACATTTATAATATTGATAAATTTGAACATAACATGCTTGAATGAACATGACGGAACTTGCTCTTCAGTTTCTATCAAAATCACCTGATGTCCTATAAAATATATTTTTATGTGTTAAATCATTTGATTAATTCATTAGAAAAATCTTTGTAGAAGAAAAATAATAGTTTAC